GGGAAAAGGAGGAGGGATAGGAGTACCGGGGTATCTTTGATGTTAAAGGAGGAACACATGCCCATAGTACCCACACCTGGCTATGCCCTTGTAACATAACTTTAAACTTTAACAGGTAACTTAAATTCTTTTTCAATTCTTTGTGACCAAGAAAGATATGACTTTCTTTATTTTAAAGAAATAAAGCATCAGTTAGTAAACATACTGAACTTAACAACACATGAGTTAAAGTGCAACACAGAACAAAAATCACACTTCACTATTTTCACACAAAATATGCACCTGAAGAGACTAGTAATCAATATGTCATTATCCAGCAGGGTCTATTTGAAATGCATGAGTGGATATGGTAACAGCATGTCATTGCAACTAGTGAGTATAAGGGTGTATTCCCAAAGATTAAGATCGATCCATCTAGATCGACCTAACTCCCTGGGGGTTCACGCTAAATTGATGTCAGCCGAGCACGCACTGTAGTTAATTACCCCCTTACAGCTTTCAGTAGGCAGGATAGACGCTTAAGCCGGCTAAACTGACAGTAATCTAGTGAGACTCCCCACAGGGATAGATCGATCTAAAATCTGTGGGAATGGGGTCTAATTCTGTGTCACAGCAGAAACTTAATTGACTGGGTTATTGTCACAAAGCTACACCATGGTTATTTTTACCATTAAGCCATCAACTGTACTACCTTGGAAAACATATGAAGCTAAATGAGGCATTTTTTGTATCAGAATAAAAAACAGATTTATGAAAAATTATATTACTTAAATATGCCATGCTTAAAACAATTAAACAGCAAAAGCTGTAAAAAGAATTAAAATTTAAATGCTGCTTTTGCCTTTAATGAATTGTCACTACTACATTTTAGTTTGAAATTCAACTGCTCATTTTGCTCTGACAGACTTTTAATACACTACTTACGTAAGTATAGTAAACATTTACAGTGGTTACAAAAGGAAGCATCAAGATATATTTTACAACTGGAAGTTAGTGTTGAACCAAATCTTGTTTTTTTTTTACATATGGAAAGCACCGATACAATTGCAGGGTCACTTAAAATGTACAATTTGTAAGTAGAGGCGAAACCTGGTATTTCTTCCTGTCATCCATTCTCCTTGCTCCTTATTCAGTGAAAAAATTGTATTTTCAAAGTTGTCACAAAATATTTTCAATCAAGCATGTTCAGATTTCTTTGACCCGTTTCACCATTTCACATGATCAATACCTTTTGACAAATGATTGAAATGCCACGCCTTGTGGGTAAAAAGCATATTCTGTCTCATTAGAAACCATGTATGTTTTCACACTCACTACACAAAAGGCAATGAAATACAGATTACCGAATCTCGTGATCTTACCTACTAACTTTAAAATTAATACACACCTCATACACAACACATGATCATAAATACAAAACAGGTCAAACATACACATATTTAATGATACAGAGATTCTAAAAACCAGAATATATTTCTTAACCTCAGTGATATTTCATCACAACTTAACATTAAACATTTACTTTTATGCAGGGATACAGTGTGTGGCACACCTACATTCTTGAAATAACCCAACCAGCACTTACATAAAAATTAAAAATTGAATACAAAATAGTTTGATTAGATAAAGAACGACATAAAATCTAAAAATTAAAATATCCACAATATCTCGATCTAGCATTAAAGAGTATACATGTATTTACAAATTGTTTTACAAGGTAATATATATAATTATCCCATTTTCAGATCATACTGTGGTCTTGAAATCCCCAACTTTTATTAGTTTCCAAGACTCCACCAACGCCATTATTCATTCACATCAAATGCTCATCACATGCAGATAAAATTTATTGTAAGAATTCAGTGATAAAATGAAAATGTAGGTGTCTTGTTATTTAAACTGGCATAAGCTCATAATAATGGTAAAATTTCAAATAAATATAAAAAATTAACCAATTGTTGCTTAAAAAAAGAGGCAATACAAGGAGTGATGCCCAAGAACAAAATTGATCACAATGATATCAAAACTCAGAGAAACTTAAAACTTGTGAATAAAAATAAGTTAAAATGTGTTATTTTGAAGACACTAAGGTCTTGCATTAAAATTTGAGACTTCCAAATAAAAATTGAATTTTGGGAACAAAAATCTGAGTTTTTCATAACATTCTCATGCTGTTAATAATTAGTCATCTTTTAACTAAGAAAAAAGTGACATAATATTCTAGATTGGTTTTGCGTGGGTCCTACTGCAGATGATAAACTGATGAAATATCTGATGGATGTTGATGCAAATTTGGCAAGTAAATGATTTCTTTACTGTAGAGTTTCCTGGTACAACTGACATGTTTCCTCGAAATTGGACAAATACATGTCATTTTCCAACTTAGGTTTAAAACTAATTCTAGAAATATCATCTGAAATCGGGCAAGTATGTGAAAATTTCCAGACTTATGCAAACTGTTAGTCACAAACATACGAAACAATATCGGAAATGTCCGAGAGACTGTCATCGTCTTCGCTCCCAATGTTGGTCTTGCTGTCTGGCCGAAGAATACTGTCCATCATAAATGAGTTTCCATTGGTTGGTTTATTGGCAGCTGGGATAGGGGGCGCCACAACTCCAGTCTGAGGCATAACTGTTGATGATGTGTGACCATTTATACAGAGTTTGTCAGATTTGTGAGAAATTTGCCTTTCATTCTGGATGTCATCCTCTTCATCTTGATCCTCTTCTTTTTCTTCTTCTTCTGTTACTTCTTCACTTTCTCCTTCTTCTTCTTCCTCCTCCTCCCCCTCCTCTTCCTTCCATTCATCATCGTCTTTCACAAAGTTTTTCCTTCCCGTTTTCTTTGATTTGTTTCCTTCATCCTCTTCACTATCTGAATCTAAAATCTTTTTGTAATTGACCTTAGCTTTGACTGCAGCTTGTCTTGGCCTGTGCCTCGGGACAGGGGAACTGTTATTTGGGTCATAATCGCTATCATCCTCATACCGACTACTAGTCCGCCTTTTACGAGATTTTGCAGGAGGGCCCAAATTGTCCGAGTCAGAGTCCTCAAACCTGTTTTTACGTTTTCTGGGAATCACTTCCTCCTCTTCCTCACTTGCTGAATAAATTATTCTTCGTCTCTTTTTTGACTTCTTTTTGGACTTTTTGTTTTTAGACCTTTGAGTAGACTTTTTCTTTCTTTTTCTCGCTGGTCCACTGTCATCAGAATATTCTTCAGAGTCACCATCGCGATAGTTGATCCGTTTTGAGGCAGCTCGCCTCGTGGGTCGACCCCAGTCATCATCACTGTCCTCCAAACTTTCTTCATCATCATCAACAACTGAAATTAAATAAAATACAATTTTTTATCAATAAGACTCTTCATGGTTCTAAGGGATTGTATTTGGCAGATTGACCCAGCTTCTACCCTGAGTGAGAATCGATCACAGTTTTACCAGCACCCAACAACCTGTGGGTATTCATGATGTGGGTATTCATGATGTGGGTATTCATGATGTGGGTATGATGATGTGGGTATTCATGATGTGGGTATGATGATGTGGGTATGATGATGTGGGTATGATGATGTGGGTATGATGATGTGGGTATTCATGATGTGGGTATTCATGACGTGGGTATTCATGATGTGGGTATGATGATGCTCTTGCAAAAAGAGTGAAAAGTAGCTGTTTCACAAAAATTTTTCTCCCAAGTAAGTGATTACAATCACCAAAACATCAGTTAATATAATAAAAGCAAAAGAAAAAATCAAATTTCTTCATCCAAATTTAACAATATAAACAGAGACAAGTGATTAAAATTTCTGATCACTTATATTTCTTGTCTTTCCCTTAAATATTCTCTAGCATTCAAAACATACTGCAATCCTCATTGTCCTTACCAAAATCATCATCAAATCTCGACCTATATCCTCCACCTCTCCTGAAGCTCCGCCTGCCACCAAGTCTTCCACCACGTTTCTTCCCCGTTCTCCAGTCATCACTGTCCTCTTCGTCTCCTTCTTCTTCCTCCTCCTCGGCCTCAGAGTAGTCGTCATCGCTGTGAAAAAAGAAACATTTTAGTGAACTTTAAAAAAAACTTTGCTGGGCTCTGCATGTAAACAATAATGAAATAAGCCTTTTCAAAAAATACCAGGAAAACTGCATCCAGTTGAAATTGTGATCAAGAAGAACTATCTTGAGATTTAATCAAAATTTGGGGAGAAAAATATACCTGAAATCTACAACTTGTCCACAAACAAACCCAAAACACACAAAGGTCAATGATAAAAAAAACCTCCTTTGTTGGCAAAGGGTTAAAATGTGACCTTAATAAATTTGGCAAAAATCATTCCCCATTTTACTCAGTAGCTTTATTTATTTGCTATAATGGAATTTACATATTTTTTTTCTTTCTTTTTCTTTTTTTTTTTTTTTTTTTTTTTTTGCACAAAATGTATGAACTCACTCAGTGGCTTGATACTCCTCACTGTCATCCTCTTCCTCACTATCAATATCCAAAGAATTCAGTCGGTGTTTTTTCTTCTTTTGCCTGCTCACTACTGGCGGCGGTCTCTCAGGTAATTCCTCTGCCTCTTCTCGACTGTTATCTTTTTCTACATTGTCTGTTTCTTTTACGTAGGACTCCTCATCTTCTTGTGGCAGCCCTTCAATATTGGACATGTCTTTACCTCTACTACGACCTGGGAAGAAAGCAAAATGATACAAAGTAACAGTAACACTTTCCATTAACAAGAGCTAAAATCAGTTATTTTCACTCTAGGACAGCATTCAGATTCACACGTTGTACTAGCTGGGTCTGTCCAACTCTGAGGGGGATTCTCACTAAAGTGCAATCATTGGAATCAGCTTGATTGTCTGATGCCTCCTCAAGCAGCTAGGGAATAATAAACAACCATGTGCAGATTAAGCTGATTCCACGAATTACACTTTAGCAAGAATCCTCCCAGAGTTGGACTGACCTAGCTAGCACAATGTGTGAATTTGAATGCGCACTAGGAGGCAACTATATCGCCTTTGAGACTCTGAAATAATGGTCTGTAAATAGCTCAGTAGTAGGCTGTTGTGTGAAGAAACTATTTTGTAATTTTGATTGTATAATGCATCATCTCCAATAGACAAACTTCACATTTTTATGTCAGAAGAAACAATCATTCAATGTCTTCATTTGCCTTGTTTTATATGTTCCTCAGCGAACTGCAAACTACAACCAAGGGAATTTATTGCCTTCAAAATGAAATCCAGGTCCTAATTCCCAAAACGTGCATAAGGTAGGCTTAAGGTGCTCTAATGAAAAATAAAAATTTTTGAAATTTGGAGAGTTTGTTGCATACTGAAACTAAGATTCTTTCTGTCCCATACTACACTGACCATACAAGAATCAAACAGCACGTTTCAGTAGTAGTCCTTAAAATGATGAAATGCCACAGTAGCTGGGAGCTCTGGTATAACTTGGGACATCCCTTTACTGTACTACAAATGATCTTTTATTATACTTATATTTATCTTATTTAGCACTTAATCCATACTGAATTTTTTATTTTCATTTTATTTCCAAAACAGCAAACTGACTTAATTGTGCAATATACTTATCTTCTATTCTGAAAATCAATGTCATATTGTAGATGTACTTACAATGACCATATAGTGAGAACTTGAACTGATAATTTACTTATATTGATTTATCACCACAAAAACATCACCCTTCAAAAGAGGGAAAAGTAAATAAATGACCTGAAACAACCCTTGAATATTTTTTACTGACAAATTATGGCTACAGTATAATAAAAACATTTTTTATATTTATCCAACTGACAGTTTTCATATTTGTTAAGAAATGAATAATAAATATATTCAGTAATATGCTATGGGTAGTTTAAGTTTCAGGCTCCCATTTATTTACTTATTATAACATTAATGGCAATCATCAAAGAAAGCCCACCCAAAGCCTTTAAATTAGTGTAAAATCCAGCAATATTTCATGGGTTTATGGGTCAACCTAATCACTAAAAAGTTAACTTTATCTCAAGCAGTACCCAAGGCCTCATTTTAGGCTATCTCTGATGACTACCCATTTAAAAAATTCCCAGTCCACAAAAAGCCATATGGCCATTTCAAACTTAATTCTTGCATGCTAGTTTGTTTCACACCAAGCAATTTAGCAGTTTAATCAATAAAAAGATAAGAGGAGATACCTTGGCCAGTGTCTCCTGCTGTTTCTTCTACAAATATAAAACATTCAATACTATAACACCTTCAATGCATTCATACAACCACAATGCTGCCTACATTTAATTTGCAATTTCCAAAATGAACTATTGTTTTAATGATCAATTTTTTGTTCTTTTTTCAAAATTCAATTACCTTTTTTCAAGGAAAAAAATCTTTGTTGGGCTTCATCATACCTGATGAAATATTCACTTAATTGCCAAAAATATTTTTCTTTGGAAGAACTTTGCCAAATTTACAAATTCAACAAGAATTTAAATTAAGTTATTCTTCAATTTATCTTAATCAAATTATTTTTGAGTTATCAAAGACTTCATCTTCAAGGCTTCATGCCACTGCACAAATTACTGAAAAATTTACACAAACTCTTTGGCAGCAAACAACACAGCACTGAGGACACAGAGGGTGATTCTTTATGTTCAAATACTGTGTGGTTGTTCAGTTTTGTAGGGGAAGACTGGGGGGGGGGGGGGAGTATGGCAGAGGGCCTATGGGGGAGTGGGATGTGAGGAAAAGAGAGTTTGAGAGAGCTGCTATGAAAGGGGAGAGCATGGAATAGTAAGGAAAAGGAAAGTTAAGTATGGCAGAAATCAGGTTAGTACAAACCAGGAGGTGGAGGCTCCTTCACGTCATCTTGTACTGCATCAAGTATGATCTTGTCAAACTCTTCAAATTTATAGTTGATGTCTTTTCTCGTCCTGCGAGATCTTGCTTTCACCATGTAGTCATCTTCCTCCTCTTCTTCTTCTTCGTCATCTTCCTCCTCTTCCTCATCATCATTATCGTCTTCACCTTGGGAGGACGTTGACTCAGTTTCCGACCATTTTCTTTTAGGTCTTGGTCTACTGGTCTGAAGTTTTAAACAAAAGATTATTCAATAAATCACCTTCAATTACCATGACTGAATTCATCAGTAAGGTTCATCTTTGAATTTTTTTGAGAAAAAAAAAAAAAAAAAACAGGAATCAAGCACATTTTTTCTTAAAACCTAATGACTGTTTTTTTTTATCAAAAGAATGAATTTGTTTTATACATTTGCATACAAACAATATAATAATTATGCACATATATTTGAAACTTGAGTTTTGAGTATGCAATTTTTTACATGAATTAACTTCATACTTATTAAAACATATTTTAGATTATACATTAAACAATTTTCAGAAATTTTTCATAAATATTCTTTTATCATCTTACATTTTCATAGAGTATATTATCCAGACTAATCCCCACAAAGGCCAGTCTTTCTTTCCTCTTCACCAGCCGGTCCTGCTGTTTCTCCGCCTTCTCATACTCTTTTAAATAACCCTGCAGCTTCTCAATCAACTTTTTCTGGGAAAAAAATTGGAAAGATATTTGAGAGGAGAAAATATGTTAATAAATTGGAGATACTTACTTACTTACCTTTTGCCGCGGATGCAGGGAGAATTATTTTCTCTAGATATTTACATATATTTCTAGGGCTTTTCACAAGATGTTGACATATCTGTGCTGTGGATAATTTTGCACAATAATATATTTTATAATAATAATATATTTCTATTTATAATAAATAAATAAATATAACTACTTTATTGCCCCACCTCCCTCTAGTAGAGAGTAAGAGATATTCAGATTGCACGAATTAAATGTATGACTATTGGACTAATAACCTTGTATTCTGTACTCTTATCACAATCAAAACCATGAGTTGTCGCCTCAGAACATTGTCTAACAATTGGGACTAAAATAATATATATATATACTTACATGTTCACAGGAAGGACAGAACCAGTCACCTTCTGGTATAACAAGAAGTGGAGGTCTCAGGCAGGCTGTATGATAGCCATATATCAATATAATATACTTACATGTTCACAAGAAGGACAGAACCAGTCACCTTCTGGTATAACAAGAAGTGGAGGTCTCAGGCAGGCTGTATGATAGCCAGCATCACAACTGTCACAGAGCAGGATCTGGAAAGACATGGTATTCGGTATGGGTAATGCTGTTTTTTTCTTTCTCTCTCTCTTCATGTGCTCATCTCCAACCCTATCTTCTCAAACTGCACACACACCTCCCTCTCTCTCTCCAAGCCCATCCTCATTCTCTCTCTCTCTCTTTCAGACCCCCCTCCCTCTCTCTCTGACACCCCTACTCTCCCATCTCT